TTTAGTGATCTGACAAATTGTCAAAAAACTATTATAACTGAATAGTTATATACCTAAAAATGTAAAAAGGAACCCCTTCTCCTCCCTTAAAAAAAATACACTCTCTAAAATCATCTTCAAAGGTAACATCCTCTACCCTGGAACAGCTTCAGCTCAGCACCTGCTCTCCCCAGATAGGGAATTGCAGGTGGGGTCCAAGATCATCCAAAGCAGAAGAGCTGGGGGCTGGGATACAGCTCAGTTGGTAGAGTGCTTGCCTTGCATGCACAAGGCCCTGGGTTCAGTCCCCAGCACCACAAAAAAAGAAAGAAGAGCTCAGTCACCTGGAGACTGTGCCAGGGAGCAGGCAGAGGAAACTGTAGATACAAATGGGCACCGGATTCCACATCAGCCTACTGCTTACAATGGAGGTTCTCAACCCAGGGCAATTGTGACTCCCAGGGGACAAGTCTGGAGGGAGCCACGTCCCTTTGTCACAGCTGGGGAGCTGCTGACATCTAGTAGGTAGAGGCCAGGTACGCTGCTGATGTCATCCTGGACAGCCCACAAGAAAAGGTCATCAAGTCCAAAATGTCCACGGCACTGATGCTGAAAGCTCACCTATGGAACAACCCAGGCTTTGAGGCCACTGGGCAGCAGGCATCGAGCCAGGGTCCCTGCAGCAGCGAGTGAAGGCACAGATGGCCCCTGGCCATTGCTAATATGAATGTGAAATGAGGACTCGTGCCATGATTCTTCTTCAAGAACTCCAAATTCCAAACTCAGAGACAGCAACCTTTTGGAGAGGTTTGCCTCATATGAATATTTTCACCACCTTCATATTGCGAAAGAGCGTTTCGAATCAATGGTGAAAGAATGCAACTGACATAAAATGACCCCCCACTAACATCAGCAAATTAGGAAAAGAGGGGATGATGTAGAGTGCCAGGCATCTCCCCAGAGATGATGATTTAAGTGATCTGTCAAATTGTCAAAAAACTATTATAACTGAATAGTTATATACCTAAAAATGTAAAAAGGAACCCCTTCTCCTCCCTTAAAAAAATACACTCTCTAAAATCATCTTCAAAGGCAACATCCTCTACATCATTACTTCAAGAGCTAAAGCTTATTTAGCCTTCTAATGCAGCAAGGCAGAAGTAAGCAAAGAT